CCATTACACTATTTCCTCTTCTGAATCTGGTCTGAACTTTTGGTAATTCCTTAAGAATGCACAGCAGCAACCGTTTTTGGGTGATCTTCAGCAAAAGTTTACTTGCATATGGTATGATTATATAATTTGAGAATTCTGTTGAGTCATCTTTTGTTGAGATGGGTACAAATATGGCTCTCTTCCAGTCAGTTAGCCAGTAGCTGTCTGCTAATTTCCTGGAATAGAAAAGTTGGTGCTTCCAGAGCTTAAGCTTATGGGAACACTTCAATTGGTATGCCATCAATTCCTGCAGTCTTGTTTTGCTGTAATACTTCTGTGAATCTTGAACTCCTTTTTACAAATGCCTCTTGATCATATGCTAGTTCTTGAAATGGCAATGCAGTTCTTTTTGGTAGTGACTCTGTGTATTCCTTCCATCTCCTGTTGATGCTTCCTGTGCCATTCTATATTTTACCCTTAATATCTTTCGATCTTGCAATTTGATGTTTGAATTTTTTCTTCACTTCTTTCCATTTAAGAGAAGCTGAGCATATCCTTATTTTTTGATTTCTAACTCTAGGTCACTGCACATTTCACTATAATAGGTCTCTTCTGTTATTCTCCTAGATCTTTTTCCCTCCTATCTTTCAAATGGCCTTTTGAGTTCTTCATGTATGATATTCTTGAAAACACCACATAAACAAGGCAAAGAATAAAAACCACATGATCATATCAATAGATGCAGAAAGGCATTTGACGATATTCAACACCCATTTTTATCAAAACACTAAAAAAAAAAGCAAATGAAGGGAAATTACTCAACATAATAAAAGCTATATATGAAAAACCAACAGCCAACATCACACTCAAAGGGAAAAGCTAGAAGCATTTCTAATGAAAACAGGGACCAGACAAGGATATCCCCTCTACCACCCCCCTTATTCAACATCATGCTGGAAGTTTTGGTTGAGCTATCAGATACCAAGAAGAAATCAAGGGACTACAAACAGGCAAAGAAGAAGTGAAACTCTTGCTATTTGCATATGATATGATCCTACAGGTAAGAAAACCCAAAAGTCTCCAGAAAAAGCCTACTAGAAACAAGGGATTCAGCAAGGTAGCAGGACATAAAATTAATAACTAAAAATCAATCAGATTTCTGTATACCAGCGGAGAGCTCTATGAAAAAGATATTAACAATACCATTTTGCAGTGGTTCTCAACCTTCCTAATGCTGTGGCCCTTTAATACAGTTCCTTCTCATGTTGTGGTGACCCCCCAACCATATAATTATTTTTGTTCTACTTCACAACTGTAATTTTGCTACTGTTTTGAATTGAGCAACCCCAGTGAAAGGGTCATTCAACCCCCAACGGGGTTGGGACCCACAGGTTGAGAACCACTGATTTACAGTAACCAAACAAAAAAATAAAATACTGAAGAATAAACCTAACTAAAGAAACAAAAAACCGATACAGAGAAAACCACAGAACATTACTACAGGAAACCAAAAAGGTCTATATAACTGGAAGAATATCCCGTGCTCATGACTAGCCAGACTTAATATTGTGAAAATGTAATTACTACCTAAAACAATCTACAGGTAGAACACAATCCCAAATACATTCTTTAAAGAAATGGAATAGCTCGTAAATAACTTCTTAAAAAGAAGAACCATGAAGAGGTCTAGCACCATCTGACCTAAAAAGATACTATATAGACACAATAGTAAAAAAGCCTGGTACTGGTACAACGAGAGATATATAGACCAAAAGATCAGAACAGAAAACCCAGCCATCATCCTACAGGCAACTAATCTTCCAACAAAGAGCTTAGAAATATCCAACAGGACAAAAACAGCCTCTTCAACAAATGGTGTTGGACAAACTAGGTTTCCATATCTCTCCCAACGTACAAAAATAAATTCAAGATGGATTAAAGACTAATGTGAATAGGACATTTAATTATTAATGATAATAGGATATATACATTACCATTTTACTTCAAACATTAAGTACATGCAGGTTACACTGTAAGTAAAAATAAAGAAAAAATGGTATCTACAACACTTACTCAATATGAGAATTTTTGTATTTTATGGTGTACATGGGTTAGATCGGTGTTGGTTATGTTTTCTCTGTATATCTAAAATAGTTCAGTAATTTTTTAAAAGTCTTTCTTACATTTTGCAGTACCAAAAAAAAAATCTTATCAATAAAAGTCATAGATGCATGGATACTTACGCTGATCAATTGTAACTATCTCATTCATCTGTTGTTCTTGGCTTGCCAACACATCTGAATGATATGAAAAAATTGTTTTCATTAAAAATCAGAAATGCAAACCCATGTAGTAAAATTGAATTCAATAGTTAGTTCATTTTAAATCGCTCAATTCACTGCCTTGGAGACAATTGCTACTCATAATGACCCTATAGGACAGGGTAGAACTGCCCCGGTGGATTTCAAATAGTAACTCTTCACGGGAGTAAAATGTCTTGTCTTTTTTCCATGGAGTGGTGGTGGTCTTGAATTGCTGACCTTGAGGTTAGCAGCCCAACTTGTAACCACTACTCCACCAAGGATCCTTCATTTTAAACAAATGAACAAATAAACAATTCATTAAATAATAAAAACAGACATAATAACCTAAAGCTTACTTTATAGTCATATTACTTATAAGAAAAACATATTTATATGCACAACATTGTCTTAAACTGAAAGAACTCAAGAAAATATTCAAGCCTCGGGTTGCAATACTGAAAGATTCTATGGTCAAAATATTGGATGACAGAAAGAATACACAGAGTCTTAAAGAACTAGTCGACATTCAATCATTTCAAGAGGTCACCTTTAAGTAAGAACCAATGGCTCTGAAGGAAGTTGTTTAAGCTGTACTGAAAGCATTAGCCAATAAAAAGGCTCCAGGAATTGATAGAATAATACCAACTGAAATATTTCCACAAGCTGATAAAGCATTGGAAGCACTCATTTGTTTATGCAAGGAGATTTGGAAGAAAGCTACTTGGCCAACTGATTGGAAGAAATCTATGTATGTACATATTTCAAAGAAAGGTGACCCTACAGAATGCTCAGTCTTAGAATAATATCATTAGTACCACATGCAAATGTAATTTTCGTGATGATCATCCAATAATGGTTGCAGCAGTACATTGACAGGGAACTGTCAAAGGTTCAGGTCAGATTCAGAAAAGGACATGTAACAAGGGCTATCACTGTTGATGTCAAGCAGATTTTGGCTGAAAGCAGAGAATACTAGAAAGATGCTTACCTGTGTTTTATTGACTATGCAAAGGGACTTGATTGTGTGTACCTTAACAAACTGGGGGTAGCCTTAAGAAAAATGAAAATCCCCAAACACTCCATTGTGCTCATTTAGAACCCGTACATGGATCAAGAGGCAGCAAGGGCATAGCATGTAGCTTAAAGTCAGGAAAAGTATACGTCAGGGTTGTAGCCTCTCTTTATACATAAGTAGCCATACTTATTTAATCTGTATGCTCAGCAATTCATTAGAAATGCTGGATTATATGAAAAAATAGGTTACAGCAGGATTAGAAAAAGGCGTATTAGCAACTTGTGGTATGCAGATGATACACAACCTTGCTTGCTAAAAGTGAGCAGGCCTGGAAACACTTGATGAAGATCACGACTGTAGTCTTCAGTAAGGATTATATATATCAATGTAAAGAAAACCCAAATCTTCACAAGTGGACCAATAGGTAACATCATGATAAATGGAGAAGAGATTGTAGCTGTCAAGGATTTTGTCTTACATGATCCATAATCAGTGGTCATGGAAGCAGCCATTGAGAGATCAAATGACACTGCAATGGGTAAATCTGCTGCACAAGACCTTCAAGTGCTGCAAAGCAAGATTACTTAGCAGACTATGATGTGCCTGACTCAAGCCATGGCATATTTAATTGCCTTATATGCAAGCCAAAGTTGGACACTGAATAAGCAAGATTGAACTGATGGGTTTCCATAATTCTGCTGGTGCAGAATACTGAAAAGTACCACAGACTAACAAAAAAAACCCCTAACAAATTTGTCTTGGAAGAAGTACAGCCAAAATGCTCCTGAGAGGCAAGAATGGTGAGACATGATCTCAAGTACTGTGAACATGTCAGGAGAGAACTGTTCGTGGAGATGGTCATCATGTTTGGTGGGGCATGGTAAAAGAGGTAGGCCTTTGCCAAGATTGACACAATGGCTGCAATGGACTCAAACATAAGCGATGGTGAAGGACCGGATAGTTCTTCTGTCTTTGTTCATGGGATTGCCAGGGGTCATAGCCAATTCTTTGTCACCTAGGAACAACATCCTGAAAAGGCAAAATGCTACCAAAATTATTTTCTTTGTGCTAAATGGGCAGGCGTGCCCTAATCTTAAAAGAGCAATGAATGTTAGTATTATAGCACAAACACATCCACATTATGGATTCAGCCCGAAAAGTCCTTAGCAGCGAGGATTGGGAGACTTTGTCTCACATACTTTCAGGAAGGACCATTCCCTGGAGAAAGAAATTGTTTTATAAAGTAGAACCAAAACCAAATCCAATGCCATTGAGTCAATTCTGACTCATAGCAAGAACAACAGAATAAAGGAAGCTCTTCAATGAGAAAATTGAAGACAATAGCTTAACAATACACTAAAAACATAGGAACACTTTGAATATGGCACATGTTTCTTTATAGGGCTACTCTGAGTCAGAACCAACTTGACAGCATAAAACACCAACAAATCCCAATTTTCAGAATGGAGTTTGGTGTGTACCTTGGAAGGATCCAGACTAGGAGACAGAACACAGAAAAAATAAATGTTTTTGAAAGGCTAGTCTAAGACCACAGAAGTATTCAGAATTGTCCTTCACCCTCTTAAGAACCTAAAACTTGGTTGTGTATGAAGAAAGCAGAATTGTGGAGGGGGTAAGGGGCACTAGAACTGATAGTGGTGGTGATACAACTCTTTTTCAAAGCAATTTAACTATGGAAGTATATGATATGCAAATATTATATCAAGAAAACTATTAAAAAGAAAATAAAAGGAAAATAAAACCAACTTTGATCATTGGTTACCAGGGTGAAGAAGGAAGTTTTTGCTAGGTGGCATTTAGTTTATGTTAATGGTGGTGAAGTAATTTGGAAAAGGATATCAATAATTGTATAACAGAGTATAATCAATGGCATTGTTTTTAAACATGTAGAAGTTGTAGAGAATGTTTTACTGTGTATATTTTTTGCCACAATACAAAAAATAATCACACAAATAACAATGAGTACAAAGAAGAAAACGTTCTAAAACTGATTGTGGTAATGATTACACAACTCTTTTTGATATGATTGAACCATTTAAATGCATTTTATATGGATGAAGTGCCAATAAAATGTTAAAAAAAAAAGAAAAAAGAAAGAGTTCTAAGAAGCAGTTCTCAATGAGCAAGCTGTCATTTTATGAACAAACAGCAGATACTAAAGGTTCAGATTCCCCCCACCCCCACCCCCTTTTAAAATATCCTCTCAAAACTGGGAGCTTTGTCTTTGGTGACAGAAGGCAGCTATTCACAGTAAGAAGTATATTATAGTTCTAGCAGTAGTAGAACAATTCCTGATTTTCATCCCATGAACAATAGAGCCTTTATGAAGCCAAACAAAGGTAAACAGCAGAGAGGTGGCGGCTTTGGTGGTCATCTAATAAATATTTAAGAAAGGAGCTCAACCTATCCAGCACAGCTTCTTCAAGGGAGATCATTGAGGAAGAATAGGAAACAGACACTGGGTTAATAAGTTTTGTACTAGAAATCACTTCCTTTCAGAAACATGCTGTAGCCTTCATTCTACATGGTAATAGGCTATATTAAAAGGGCTAAATTTTGAGAAGTGGAGCTTAAGATATATTGTTAGACATAGCCTGATAAATCCAAATTTCTAAGGTAAGCATAAAATTTCCAAGTGAGATGGCTGCAAAAGCAAGGAATTCCCTGGCATATTCATCTAAGCCATGGGATTTCATTTTTGAAAAAAAGTAATAGTTCCAGAAAAGAGCTCTTCTGAGGAAAACCTATTCCTCTACATGAAACTTAAAAAACCATACAAAAACTCCAATAAACATCTACAAGATTAATATTACGATACCAGAATTAGATAATACATTGAAAGAACAAAGCAGAATTGATGTAATAGAAGGTCAAATTAGTGAGTTTGAAGACAATCTCTTGATAGCAATCTGGGAGGAAAGCTATCCTTATGGGGGCATTACCAAGAGGAGTAACTTATTTTATGCCTCACAGGCATAGAAAGAGACAAAAAAAATTCCAGAGAAAAAACTCCAACAACTGCTGGAACAATTTTCCTACCACCATAGAAGAGAAAGTAACCATTCAATAAACTGAAAGAACCTCCAACAGGATAAACTCCAAAAGAAAATCTAATCTTTACCAAGGACAAGGGGAAAATTCTGAGAAAAGCTTGGAGGAAAAAGAATATCACTTACAAAGGAGAACCAGTAAGAATAAGCTTGGAGTTTTTCCGCAGAAACCATGCAGGCAAGGCAGCAATGGGATGTCATATACAAACTCTGAAAGAAAAATAACGCCAACCTAGCATCTTATATCCAGAAGAATCATCCATCAAATAAAAAGGGGAAAAAAAGGTATTTCCAGGTAAAGGGAATAATTAATGGAATGTGTTAAAAAAAAATCTTTTAAAGGTCAATGTTACAAAAAAGTACTCAGGGGAATTCTTTGGACAAAGAACCAACAACAGTAGCAGGTATCAATATGAAATCAACATATAACATACCACCACCCAGAAATCAAGCCACTTCAACTAGTACTCAAAATAAACTTTTAAGACTGAAAATAGGGAGCCAAAAAAGAACACAAGCTATGCAAATGGAGGTAAGTCAAACAGTTCTCAAAACAGAACAGTTTTAAAAATTTGGAAGAAAATTATAACATGGTAACCTCAAAGAAAATGAGCAAATCTCAAAAATAACAAAATTGAAAATCACAAAAATGTAATAAACAGTAAAATAATAGTAAATGGTAAAATGAAAACTCATAAACAAAAGGAGCTCAACACAGAAATGTGAGGTACAAAGGCATCAGCACCACAATGAAAAGATTCTATGAAAAGCACAAGAATCAGAAAAAGCCAAACACAACAAAATGTCAAGATAGCAAATACTAAGAACGTGAGAAAAATGAAACTGTAGTCTAAGCCTTACCACCTATTTTCAATTCCTGAGTTCCTGCAAGACAATGTTACAATAACTCACATGTTAAGAATCTGAAACAATTCGGGAATCACTTTATCTTTATCAGTCTGTAGAGAAGCAAACCTATGAAACCAAGAACAAGCCTTCAATCAGGAACACTAAGAACTGAAAAAAGAAATAAGCCCTATAAACGGAATCAACCTAAGAAGTTTTTTTTTTTACACCTAAAAGAAGCTACACAAAAAAACAAAGACTCTCTCCAAAGCTCATTTTGTATCCAACAGCAAATTGTGCACAGATAGAAGGAAGTCTTAAGAATGAAATTTACAATGGGGAATCTATCCCGGAAACATTTCTCCTTTCTGGGCACACACCCATTTTACTGAGTTCATTCTGACTCTCAGTAATCCTTTATAGGATTTCCAAGGAGCTAAATCTTTATAGAAGTGGATAGTGTCATCTTTTTCCAACAGTGTCTGGTTATTGCATTGCTACTTTGAGATTAGCAGTTCAGTGCTTACCAGTAGCGCCACCAGGGCCAGGCACCTAGTAATACAAAACGCTATCAAATACAATTTCATCCTTAACTATACCAAAACCAAGTCGGAATTAGTTTGTCCTTTTCACTCATTCCTGAAAAACATGTGGTTCTGTTAACACTTCTGACATACAAAACAGTGTTAGGGCATAGCTGCTTCTAAGATGTCTTAACAGTTTCTGAACTAAGTTGGATTAAAACTCATATCAAATAATTTACTTTTATTTGAATTCTTTTTGTTGAATAGTCAAATCGACGCTATATTTTTTATTAATATTCACTCAGTTGTCATGATGTCTGTGGAGCAAAACAAATCCTAATAAACCAGAGACTTCCAAATTCAAGATACAGCATACTCAGACTTCTAAGACCTCATCCTAGATAAATCACCAAAGATTTAATTCCACTAATGATGAAGAAAATGAGCATGATGCTACCTGTGAATAATCTTTCATTTCAAAGCAAGGAATAAAATAACTGGCTGATGAAATAAATAGAAGTCAAAGACTTTAATAACTGAAGAGGGCGAAGTGCAGACCACAGGCTTTCATTTAAGAAACTAAATGAAACTAAATGCTAGTTAGCCTGGGCATTAATTTGGGTTCTGACACCCCCTAGTCGTATGACTTTGGGCAAGTTCTTTAAAAACAGTCACCAACTGTCATTGAGGTTTAGCAGAGCTCCAGATTAAGATAAGGAAAAATACACTTGGTAATCTGTTGTTGTTTTTTTCAAATCAACCAATTAAAACTTCAATGAGCTGGGGAATGACCAAACAGCAGAGATAAACAAACCCCAATACTGATTTATAGTTATTACAGGGATTAAATCAGAACAGTACACACAACTTCTCAGCACTCCTTTTCAGTTAATAAATATAACTTATTGCAATTATCAATGAGAAACCTGAAAAAAAAAAAAGTTAAAAAGAAACAAAATTCAGTTTAAGTTACAATGTAAATAGATAGTAAGTCTGATTCCATACATTTTCGAAGAAGTTCCAGATGGCTCCAGAGAATTTCTCCCCTAGGAACACGCTGAAAAAAATCTTCTTGATTGAGACTACATAATTCTCTCCCTGAAATGTTGAGTGTAGTGAGGTCTATATCAGTCATGCTGAATTCTTTCATTACCCAGACCACCCAATGCAAGACTTGGTCTGTAGACCACTGTATAGGATCTGCAAAGAAAAAAAAATGTCGTTAGTTATTATACCAGCAGTTCTCAAACTGTGGGTCGCGACCCCTTTGGGGGTCGAACAACCCTTTCACAGGGATCACCTAAGACCATTGGAAAACACACATTACTGATGGTCTTAGAAACAGAGACACCACTCCTCTTATCCATCTCCAGGCAGGTCTACCCACATGCAGATATGCCCACATATGAGTAGCCAGCGTGAAGACTGTTACCCATGCTATCAGACAAAATTTCATTTATTTGCCATTGGAAATAAATATTTCACAATGTATAATTATTGTTTTGTGATTAATCACTATGCTTAAATTATGTTCAATCTGTAACAATGAAAATACATCCTGCATATCAGATATTTACATTATGATTCATAACAGTAGCAAAATTACAGTTATGAAGTAGCAATGAAAATAATTTTATGATTGGGGGGTCACCACAACATGAGGAACTGTATTAAAGGGTCGCGGCATTTAGGAAGGTTGAGAACCACTGTGTTATATAATAAATATGCTCACTATTATAAACAATTAGATTTGTAAATAAAAACAAACACTCATATGCACACATATTAATTCAGACAGCACATTTTCCCTCATGTAAACTCAGTATACAAAGTAAAAACAATTTTTATGTCTCAGTTCTTTTAAAATTTCTAAAATTTCTAATGGCAAGCCTTCATACAAAGTAAAACAAAATTCAAAATTGCTTTTCAGTGTAAAATCTGTGATCACCTGGAGAGAATGGATTAATTACTTGACTTTTAAAGATCATTTTGTAGCAGCATATAGACTGTTATAATAGTCTGAGAAGCAGGGTTTATTTTCCCTTGTTCTTTTTCTTGCAAAGAGTTAGTTGGGCCTGCATTTATCTTATAGTGGTGGATACAACATGCTAATTGTTTTTAATACTCAGTTACCTCCTCCCTCACAAGACTTCACTGTCTTAAGCGCCTACTGGAGTTGTGTCTTGTAACCATTCTGTCTTCAGAGCCTACAACACTGCCTTGCTCATAAATATGTAGAATGTCTAAATGGAAAATCCACAAAGTTTCATTTTCTGAATCACTCTTTACTATCTCAGTGAATTCACACATCTACAAGCTGGCTCACACGTTTAAATATTTTATCACTGGCACCTAAAGAACATTCCAGTCACTGAAGTTTAATAAATAATTGTTGAATTAACTTTGGTACTAATTTTCCATCTTGGAGAAAGCTATCTGTTCAAACACTATTGGTTACATATCAATTAACTGCATGATAATAAGAAAGTGGGGACCAGCCCGTGTGACCACCAGCTGTCGAAGCATCAAAGACCAAAAAATCTTATCATTGTAAATGTGGTTGAGTGCAGAGTGGAGACTCAAAGCCCATCGGTAGGCAACTGGACACCCCCTTACTGAAGGGTTGTGGGGAGGAGACAGCCAGTCAGGGTGCAGGGTAGCAACGATGAAACATAACTTTCCTCTAGTTCTTAAATGCTTCCTCCCCACCCACTATCATGACCCCAATTCTACCTTACAAATCTGGCTAGACCAGAGGATGTACATTGGTACAGATAGCAACTGGAAACACAGGGAATACAGGACAGATGACTCCTTCAGGACCAGTGGTGAGAGTGGCGATGCCTGGAGGGTGGAGGGAATGTGGGGTAGAAAGGGGGGACCGACTACAAGAATCTATGTATAGTCTCCTCTCTGGGGGATGGACAGCAGAGAAAGGGCGAGGGAGGCGTCAGACAGTGTAACATATGACAAAATAATAATAATTTGTGAATTAAGAAGGGTTCATGAGGGAGGGGGGTGGGGAAGGAGGGGGAAAATGAGTAGCCGATATTAAGGGCTCAGGTGGAAGGCAAGTGTTTTGAGAATGATGACGGCAACAAATGTACATATGTGCTTAACACAATGGATGTATGTATGGATTGTGATGGGAATTATACGAGCCTCCAATAAAGCGATTTAAAAAAAAAGTGGGGAAGATAAAGTTTGAGTGCTTAGCAAAAGCCTATCAATAAGAAAAATAAATTGAATATAATAATTATTGGGAATCACAGAATTTATTTTTTATATATTACCAATGAAATTAAAGGCAGAGGACAATGGGAAGATGACAGCAACCTTAAAAAATTTTTTTCAATCCATACATGACAACAGAAAAGCAAACAGAAGTAAAACTGAAAACTCATGAACATTTATTTCCAATAAAATCTGTAAAGAAAGTCAAAATATACGAATAAACAAACCAGTAAAGTCATATCTATGGTACTGCCATCTATGCAGAAGATATCGTTTTGAACAAGATAATGTGAACATAGTCCCTGAAAACATAAGACAGCAAAGCTGGAACAGCTAAAAGCTAATAGCACTCCAAGCTCATAGCACTAAGTACCAGGGCTCACCGGCGAGGTTTAAAGTGCACTTCCTATGAGCTTTGCAAATTGAACCAAGAAACACTTCCAAGAAAGAGACCCAAATAAGGAGACACTGTTAGGAGTGAAAATGATCAGAATAGGGGTATCAAGGAAAAAAAAAGAGAATGCTCATATAAAAGTGAAGAGAACAAATAGGAACTAAGAAAGCAAGCTGTCCCAGTTTTCAATACTTCTTGAAAGCAAGAGACAAGGTGCTATCCTAAACCACATCCCTCTTTATAAGTTCAGGATAGCTCCTACAGAAAATTATTCAGATCTGAAATGTTGTACAATAGGAAGATTCATCTAACCCCTGCCCCCCGAGTCCCCCAAATAACAAGACATCTGGTCTAACAAAACTAATTGGTCATTTATATGTAATGCTTTTTCTCTTCAATACCCTAGTGAAATGATAGTGAAGGAGGTTTTAAAAGATCAAAACTACATAGAAATACAGATGGGATTGTGATAAAAACAGATGGAATGGAATAGTTCAATGATATGTTAGAAAATAAGTAACATGATGAGCAATTTAATAGAGTAGGAAAGCTCTCATGATGTTGGAATAAGTGCTGTCTGCTAACTGTGGGTTCAAAAGTTGGTTCAAAAGCCACCAACTGGGTTCAAAAGTTGGTTCAAAAGCCACCAACTGCTCCTCAGGAGATAAAATGACGCTATCTGCTCATGTAAAGACTTATAGCCTCAGAAGCTCCCTGTACCAGTGGTTCTCAACCTGTCTAATGCTGTGAGCCTTTAATACAGTTCCTCATGTTGTGGTGACCCCCCCAACCATAAAATCATTTTCGCTGCTATTTCATAACTGTAATTTTGCTACGGTTATGAATCATAATGTAAATATCTGGTATGCAGGATGTATTTTCATTGTTACAAACTGAACATCATTAAAGCATAGTGATTAATCACAGAAACATTAAGTAGTTATATATTGTGAAATATTTATTCTAATTACAAATAAATTTTTTCTTGAAGCATGGTATAGCATGGGTAACAGTCTTAAGGCTGCATACTTGTATGTTGGGTGTGTCTGCATGTGGGGTAGACCTTCCTGGAGATGGATAAGAGGAGCAGTGTCTCGGTTCCTACAACCATCGGAAATATGTGTTTTCTGATGGTCTTAGGCAACCCCATGTGAAAGGGTTGTTCGACCCCTAAAGGGGTCGCGACCCACAGGTTAAAAATCGCTGTTCTATATAGAGTCACTATGAGTTGTAATCGACACATAGTGGCAGGGTTTTTTTATTATTTTTGTTGGGGCCTGGGCGGGTGGGGAAAGTGATAGCCTCACATGTCTGCTGAATGGAATACCACAAAAGTGGGAAAATTCCTGATTGGAAGAGAGGTTTACGGATGTAACTGAGGGGATTTGATTGAAATTAGATGGCATAGCCATCTGAGATGCAACTATTGGTCTCTCTGAATTTGGAGCAAAGGAGAGTAAAGGTAACCACAGACATCAAGGAAGCAACTTGTCCACTGGACGAAGGTCTCCATTAAAAATGGCCTCATTCTAGCAACAATGAAACATACAACTTTCCGCTAGTTCTTAAATGCTTCCTCCCCCCCACTATCATGATCCCAATTCTACCTTGCAAGTCTAGCTAGACCAGAGGATGTACACTGGCACAGATAGGAACTGGAAACACAGGGAATCCAGGACAGATGATCCCTTCAGGACCAGTGGTGAGAGTGGCGATACCGGGAGGGTGGTGTAGAAAAAGGGAACTGATTACAAGGATCTACATATAACCTCCTCCCTGGGGGATGGACAACAGAAAAGTGGTGAAGGGAGACGTTGGACAGTTTAAGATATGACAAAACAGTAATAATTTATAAATTATCAAGGGTTCATGAGGGAGGAGGCAGCGGGGAGGGAAGGGGAAAATGAGGAGCTGATATCAAGGGCTCAAGTAGAAAGCAAAAGTTTTGAGATTGATGATGGGAACAAATGTACAAATGTGCTTGACAAAATGGATGGATGTCTGGATTGTGAGGAGAGTTGTATGAGCTCCCAATAAAATGATTAAAAAAAAAAAGCCTCCTCTAGCCTCAGACCAGAAGTAGCAGATGGCACCTGGATATCACTACTAACAGCCTGACCAAGGACACAAGAAAAAAATACGTGGACAGTGTGAGAAAACCACAGAACAAAATTGAACCAAAGTACTACATGGATACACTGGAGGAACCCTGAGACTATCTCTCTGTTACTAGATTAAGAGTAACACCTGTTAAGGAACACTTTCTTCAGAATAGATCAACTGTATGAAAGCAAACACATAACACTTACTCAAAAGCAAAGATGAGAAGGCAGGGAGAGACAGGGAAACTGGAGGGATGAAAATGAGGAAAGTGCAAAATTTTTAAAGGAAAATTATGGGATATCTCTTTTAAACAAAGTTAAGCAATTAGCAAAACACTCTTTAGGGCAGAAATAGATACCTGAAAAAATTATTTCCCAAGAAAATAATAATTGTTCCTGAATTTCCTAGTATTTCAAGCAAAATATCAATGGTTTTCTTTGAAGTCTGCTGTAACTAAATAAATACAAAGTTTTGCTTTTGCTTCATAAATTTTTATTCTAAGTAATTAGCACTATTGGTAGGACTTCTGAATCAAGAGTTCACATATTTTGCTACCAATAACTCAATTTTTTTTAATAACTCAAATTTTTATCTCACTTTCCAAAAATGAGTTTTGATGATGGTCTGGTAAACTTTGTATGCAATACCATTACTCCAAAATTTTGTATGCTCCCTTCTTTCCCTCCCAACATTTCCCCACTCAAGAGAAAATTACCACTTTACTGACTCTAGGGTTAAGTACATCATCCACTAGTTTCCACTAAATAACTTCATGCCTCCTCTCCTACCTCATCCTTCAAACTGGGCCCATGTATCTTGTTAAGGCCTAATGGCTTCTCTCCTCAACTTTGTTAATGTATCCTTCTAATAGCTTCATACCATTTTATCCACAAATATTTGGGTCACCACCAACTTCTAAACTTCAATGTTTAATTTCTCCAATAACCTTTCACACTTTTCATTCTCCAAACAATTAATATCCTACTTTCTCCACTGCCTATTAATTTCTTATAACTCAGCTTCATCTCTTCAGCTCTCCAATTACATTTGTCAAATTCACCAAGTTTAATCCATCAGCATTCTTTTGACATTCTTAGCAGTATTGGAAACTTCTGGCCATCTGAAACTTCAAGCTCAAGAATGTCAGTTTTCAGTATGGATTACAACTCAATGTAATGAACAAAATCTTCACAACTGATCAATTAGGTAACAACATGATAACTAGGGAAAAGACTGATGTTGTCAAGGATTTCATTTTGATAGGATCATAATCAATTGCATAAGACCTCTCTGGAGTGTTGAAGAGCAAGGATGTTACTTTGAGGACTAGGGAGCGCCTGAGTAAGCTCGTGGTTATTTTTGATAGCTTCACACACATTGTGAAGGTTGAACGTTCTTTAAGGAAGACTGAAGAAGAATCAATGCATTTGAACTATGGTGCTGGCAAAGACTATTGAAAGTATTATGGACTGCCAAAAGAACAAACAAATCTATCTTGGAAGTAGAAGGTTCCTTAGACGCAAGGATGGTGAGACTGTCTCACATACTTTGGACATGTCGGGAGAAACAAGTCCTTGGAGAAGGACATCATGATTGGTAAAGCAGAGGGACCGTGAAAAAGAGGAAGGCCCTCTATAACATGTACTGACAGTAACTGCAACAGCAGGCTCAAACATAAGAACACTTGTGAAGACAGGGTGGGACTAAGAACTGTTTCATTCTGATGTACATACGGTGGTTATGCATCAGAAGCAACTTGGTGGCACCTAACAACATGTACATTTCTTATTTTTCTTCTATTTTTTCTTAAACTATAAGTATTGACAGGGTTCAAGGACTAGTTTTTAATATTGCATTTTTATTTATCCACATCTACTTTTATGGCTTTGAGTACCTATTCACTGTGAATGAGTTCCATAAAATATATCTTTAACCTAAATCTTATACATGTGGCACTAGTCTTTGGTTCCCTCTAGTTGAATATCCAGAATCATTTCAAAATCAAGGGTTAACAACACCTTTTCTTGAAGCACTATTCCATACCAAACTTCCCCAAAAGTCAATGGACTTTCTTGTCTATCATTGCAACTCTGGTATATGGTGTTCACAAAAAATAGTGAAGATGTAACCAATTTGTATTAATTTTGTACAGTAAGTTCAGCTTGAGAAGTTGTACCAATCCTTGAAATCTCCCTTGGGTCTTCCCTTTCTACCCTAAATCAGATGTTCAGTTCAATCACCTTTTTCATTCACCTCACCTCCCTCCAGGTTCAGAAATCACTTACTGTAGTTTCATTGCGCCACACACAAAACCACAACAGCACGCTCTTGTCCCTTCATCCAGTCTCTACTTGCCCCAATGCATGCAGCGTACCACTGTCTCATTCATTTTTAAACTCTCTTTTCCACGAACAAAAAACAGTTCTATACTGTAGCAGAATGACACTAACATCAAGTCTCATTACTCACACATACTCCACTTTTAACCTTTGCACATAACATTTCTTCTCTGGAATGTTCTTTGAACAATTCTGCTGCAGGTCGTTATTATCCCTTCAGCATTCAAATAGCATGTTTACCGTGAGTTATTATCAGTTTAAAAACATGTACCCTTATATGGCAATTATCTCTTTTTATCTAATTTTCTCTTTAATTACAATGTGAGCACCCTTAGGTTAAAATTTTTTATACTTCTTTGTATTCATTGCACCGATGACAGTATTTGTCTGTCACATATGCTTAAATGTCTGTTGTAGCCCAAGAAAAAACACTTTAGAAAATTTTCTTACTAAAACTTGTAGATTTAAAATAGACAACTTACCCTAGTGTTTTCTAAGTAGTTTAATACTTAATGTTCTAACTAAACTGTAATTATTTATGTTATTACCATAGGGTATCCCAAGGCGTTCCTGCTCTTTCCTGTAACCTTCCAGTGCAGCTGCCCATCTTGTCACTTGTTCTGAGGTTTCATCTGAAATGGTGGTGATGTGCTTTGTGCCATCAAGGGTTATCACTTGCGCTTCTTCAACAAGATGTGCTTCAGCTTCAGCATGATGGGCATCGGGATCAATAACTACTTCAACAGTTTCGGCAGGTTTAACAATTTCAAGGATGTTTAGCTTTGGCTCAATTCCTTAACCGGGCATAAGGAAAACACTATAAATCTAAATGAAAACAAAAACGCTACCAAAGAATACAATTTGCAGTTTAGCTTTTATGTTCCTAGTCAAAGGAAAAATGGGATAAAAAAAAACACACTTTAAATATTTTATCAACATGTCAAGAGAATTTTAGATTCCTGCTAATGATCATGACAATAATGATTACTAGGCATATATTGATAATAGACCATGCCAGCACCATATTTTGATCACAGTATATCAAGCATGTAAGAGATTTTCCTTTTTTTAAAAAGAAAATATGTACTGATATACAAGAGGGTTTCACAAATTTATGAATAGTTTCAATTACCTTTTAATTCCATCATCCTACACTTTTTAAAGGCTGCTCATATTGAAGGATGAGTCCTGATGGCGAAGTGGTTCTGAAATGGGATGCTAACTACAAGCTTAGCAGTTCAAAACCACCAGCAGGTCCTTGGGAGAAAGATTAGGCTTTCTACTCCAGTAAATAATTACAGCCTCAGAAACCCAAAGAGGGGTCAATATGAGTTAGCAGTGACACAATGGCAGCGACTTTTATATACTTTTCTAAGGAGTCCTGGTGTTGGTGTTGATTTTATATACACCGTTTCTAAAAGGTATTGATCTAGCCCAAACAATAAACCCTTTACAAAAAAAAAATCTCAGACATTCCTGTTAAAAAGACAGCTCTAAGAAACTGTATGTTATTTCATAGCTAATGTGTGTTCTTTAAGGAGCACTGGTGGCACTGTCAGCTAAGTACTGGACTGCTAACCACAGAGTCTTGGTTCACAGCCACCAGCCACCCTGTGGGAGAAAGAAGTTCTCCGCCCCTCTAGATACACAGCCTTAGAAACCCTACACAGGGTAGCTATGAGTCAAGGTCAACTTGATGGCAGTGGGTAGATCTGCTCACATGAAGGAAGTCTGGTGTGTATGCAAACTCACTGCTAGAGAGTCGATTCTGACTCACAGCGACCCTACTGGAACAGGGTAGAACTGTCAATAACTGTTTATAGAAGCAGAAAGCCCCATCTTTTTCCTGTCAACTTTGCAGTTAGGAGCCCAACACATGACCACTATTAAAAGGTTAGCAGTTCAAACACAAATGCTGCTCCACTGGAAAAAGATGAAGTTTTGTATATTTAGAGTTAGTTTCAGAAACCCTATGGATAGGTCAGTATAATGCGGAATCCACTAAATGACAGTGGGTTTGATTTGGTGTGCACATTTGAGTTGGCTATAATAAAAATGTAATAAAACAAAGTGTTTTGGAAGAAAAATAAACAATCTTAATGGCTGTGAAAACCAGTATTACCAAAAAGGAAAAAAAAAGCACTGGTGTCATTTGGTGGTACAGAGAGAAGTCATTTCATTCAAATGTACATGATACAAATATTTACTATTAAAAAAAAAATCTTTCCTAACTGCATATCCTGACTCTTTTTAAATTACATCAAGTCAACTACTCTTAAACATATTTGCATTGCAATTCTTTTCTCCCCCCACTCCTCGAGATTCTTCTAATGATGCAAACAATGAACTTTCTTATTTCTAGCCACATTCAGTCTGAGGGGAACAGGAACAGAAATAGATAACTACAATTTTCATAACCCGAGGAAAACTTTAGTTTGTGAAATCCAGTTGGAAGCAATATACTATGTTCAGAGATTAAAGTTATTCAAAAGTTTCATAAAACTCCCCAGAAACTCGTTTTAAAAACTGAACTATCTAATATGGTCTTTTACTTTTCTGTCTTGTATGCCAATGCAAAATTAGTTCAATATGATAGGTGTGGGTGACCAGTTTGTTCCCTCGCAAACTCTCTTTTCACTAAACTGCGGAGACTGGATTTCCTTGGAGCTAGTGTTCTAGATGTGACAGAAGCTTCAGAAACACTACCATAAAGGCTTCTATTTGGAAATGAGTTAAAAGGTAACAAACAGGCACAGAATATCTATTTTGTTTGGCTAGTGTGGACCACTGTAGAGTAGCAAGATGCTTGGTTAAAGGCTATAGCTGTACTGTGGCTTCAGATTTGGCATTTACAAGATCATGACTTGGCAGCAGCCATCTTTTGATAGTCCAGTTCTGCTAGGAGGCAGCTAAAACTACACTGGAGACAGTCCTTGTAAAAACTCAGCCAACACCTATTCTTCCAGCAATTTCTTAATAATTTTTACTAGTTTTAATAATTAAACTATATAATTTTGTAATACTAATTGTTTCACTTGATAAATATAACTGAACCAAAAGTATAAATATCTGCTTGTAACATCACACTGACTCATGCAACCTTCTCCTACACCTAAAGTTTACAAATGTAACTCTGAGTCAAAATTTTAGATAACTGTTGCTATGAAGGACTTACCTTGATAAGAAATCACCTGTACACTAAGCTGTACAGTTCCATCTGTCTTCACTCCTTGGTCAAACAAACTTCGTTCTGGATCCAGCTAAATATGGGTAAAATAAGTAGGGTTTCACTGTAATCATTTAAATTAAGAACTTTGCCTTCGGTTCATAAGTCAAAAAGTATCACTACAAAACCTTAACAGCCCTTATTGTTTAACAAACATAGTAAAATGTGAAGCACCCAATAAAATCATTTTTAAAAAACGTGAAACATTTCTTGAGAATCTAGGTCTACTATACGTTTCATCTTCCTAAACCTTCCCTAAAGAATCCTGTGCTTTTCCCCTAACCCAAGCACAACTAGTTCTGCTTACATGACTCTACTGCATACTTGCCCTCATGAAGAGACCACTGAAGATATGGGGCGTAAAACAAAGCGTGGGGTTGAAATCAGATGGTGCCTGGCTATTAGAATGAAGAGCACCTGGGGACTTAAAGGCTTGTCTTAAAACAAAAACCATCTGAAGTATCAATTAAGTCCACATGGAAGAAGCACACAAACCTGCGTGATCCCAGGATTGTACATAATAAGATCCAAGACTGGAGGAAGGAATAGAATTAGAGCTTAAATACTGAGCACCTGGTTTACAGAAGGCGATTACAGTGAAAAGTCAAAATTCATTTTCAGAGTCTCCACATGGATTAAGGCTTTGGTGAATTCTCTCACCACTGACCAAGCATATGACTAGTTTTGCTAGCACATAGAGTGTACTGGAAAGTAGACTCATGCTTGATGTAGTTAGCTTAAAATTCAACACCTTGTCATATGTTCTCCCATTTGACCCATTTTAAGCTTGTTCTATTTTAATTATTTTCTGCTTTCTTTTTGATTGAAGTTTTTCTACAATTTTTATTGTCGTTAGGCTTTTTTGTATGTTTTTCTTCATATGAAATCCACTATAGATTAATTGATAGAAATAGTCAATGTATTACTGATAGAATTTGTCTATAGCCATCCACTGTGGGAAGGAACATATTTTGTTTGGAACAAATCCATGCATGTATATACTGGAATCCTAGTAGCAACACTTTTAAACTTACATTAATGTACTGTGCAAGAAATCAATAAAATAATACTCTAATTGCATTGTAAGAACACGTTTATTTAGCCAAATTTCTGTCAATTTTGGACAAAACTGAAAATATTGAGACCAATGAAGTGATAACTAAAAGCATATGCAGGGGTATAAAAACAAAACAAAACCCGGAATTTTTTTTCTCCAAAGGAATTTTTTTTTTTTTTTAACAAAACAAGCTTATCACCTTCAAAGTACTCTCCATTACACTTAGTACATTTGTCAAATCTACAATTCCATTCTTGGAAACATTTTTCAAACTCATCTGTTTGGATGGCTGACAGCATCTCCCTCGTTTTTTTGGTCAACTCTTCTACGACATCAAATCCCTGTCCTTTCATGCCCCTTCTCATTCGAGGAAACAAAAAGAAGTTCCAAGGAGTGAGGTCAGGTTGAGTCCAGGCATGTGGGTCAAAAGAGGCATGCTGTTTTTTTGCCAAAAATCGGTGCACTCAGATGGCTCTATGAGCAGGCACACTGTTGTGGTGGCAAAACTAGTCCCCCATCTGCCACAAAGCAGGCTTGTTTTGTTTCACATTGCTACGCTATCTTTTCAGAATCTCTAAATAGAAAGCTTGCTTAACAGTCTGACCTGGTGAAATACACTACAATTAGACATTTTCATCAATGGGTGTTTCACTTTTTTTTGAGGCAAGAAAACCCCTCGTACACTTGAGATTTTCCCATAGTGATGTCCCTGTAAGCTGTGTTCAGGATCACAACAATTTCTGTGGCACTTTTCCCCAAGCAGAAAAAAAAATTTCACTGCTGCACACTGTTCTCTTAAATTGGCCATCACAAAAAGCAAGGTTCAAGCGAAACTGCTTTGATGAAAAAATTCAGTGACCAGAGAGAACCTGCCCAGGTGATGCCACTGGTTACACTAACTCAGAGCGAGTTGCTCGATGCTTACCTAGTGGGACAAATGCCTGTACTACAAAAGTTCCGCCCTGCCCAACTCTGGTTTTAGGGTGATAGCCCCTTACATGTAACAGATTTATCTTAAGTTCTAATTTTTTTGTAACCTTGAAGTATAGTTTAAGCTTTGAAAATAATACTAAAAGGAAATTATTCATTCTGAATATGTATTTAAAATAGGAGATAATGCTATTTGTCACAATAAACAAAGTCTCTTGATTAGTGGTGATAATTTGTCTAAATCTATTGGCACCTTTTTCTTTTACTTTCCTTATGAAACCAATGCTACAAATATTTAAGGTCAGGATTAACTCTGTATCTCTGATCACACAGCAAAGGAAAGTTATAGGACTAAGACCTCTTACCAAATTTAGCAATGTTTACCTTCAGTCATAATTCAGCATTTGTTTTCATTGTTTTGTCATTTTTTCCTTATCACCTTATTATAATGTATTTCACACAACACCAAACTAATGACAAAAGACGTACTTACACACTTTCAGTTACTAGTGTAAAAAGTACTTTCCATAAAATTCTCTTGAACAGTATATATCTGTGTGCCAGAATATCACACAGTTGTAGGTACAAAGCATTCCCCACTTTCAATCTCAGATATTCAGCCAATAATGTGGCTATGGTACAGATAAATTTTCTAATATATAAGAAATATATGCCTGAAATGACAAATTCAAGAAGAACGGTGTAGCATTCATCATCAAAATGAACATCTCAAGATCAATCGATCTTAAAGAATAAGGCTTTGTGTGATAGGATTAAATGTATACAACTACAGGAAGCCCTTAATACAACTATAACTCAAATTTATGCACCAACCACTAAAGCCAGTGATGAAGAGACTGAAGAACTGTACCAACATCTTCTGTGCAAAACTGATTGAACATGAAATCTAGATATACTGATTTTTACTAATGACTGAAATGTTAAAGTCAGAAAAAAGAGAAAGGACAAGCAATTAGGAAATATGGCTTTGGTGATAGAAACGAACCTATAGATTATAGAGCTACAATTATGCCAAGATAAGCAACATTTTTCAATAATACCGTATGTACTTGTGGATAAGCCAAGTTTTTCAGCACATTTTAATGCAGTTTTTGTGATAAAATTAGGTGCCTTGGGCGATATTCGGGTGGGCTTATACTCAAGTACATATGGTATACATGGTGACTATATGTGTGGATCTGATCTGATGAAATACATAAAAATTAACGTGACTACCTCTTTGGAAAGAGATAATAGAGAAACTCAGCATCTTCAATTACAATAAAACCAGAGGTAAACCACTGGTTACTCAGATGCAAGTTCAGATGAAAACAAGTCCACGAGAGCCAAAATATAACCCTTAAGTATATCCCAGCAGAACATCTTGAAACAAATTTGATACATAACCAAAGACCACACAAACTGTGGGCTGACATTAAGAAATATTCTACATGAAGAATGCAAAAGGTCATCTAAAAGAAAAGAAAGACCAAAGTGGATATCAGAAGAGACTCTGGAAAAAAAGGAGAAGTCAAAGACCCGCACAAAATATTTCAAAGGCAGCTGAACACAAAGAAAAGCATTACAATAAAGTGTGCAAAGACCTACAGTTTAAGAAGATAGAAGGAATACACAGAGCCACTCTACCAAAAGAGAGCTGGTTGACAGTCAACTGTTTCCAAAAGTTGCATATGATCAGGAACCAAGACATTAGTCAAAAACAAGCTCTAGGAATTGACAGAATACCAACTGAAATGTTCAACAAACTGTTACAATCCTGAAAGTACTCACTGGCTTATGCCAAGAAATTTGGAAAACAGCTACTTGACCATTCCAGTGGAAGAGATCCCTAATTTTTCCCATTCCAAAGAAAAGTGAACCAGAAGAATGAAGGAATTATTGACAATATTAATATGACATGCAAGTAAAATTTTCTTGAAGATAATTCAAAACAGTTATAGCATGATATGACTAGATTCAGAAGACGAAGCAGAACGGGGATACAATGATATCCCTCACATCTGTCTGAAAGCAAGGAACATCAGATAAATGCTCTCTGCTGTTTTATTTCCTTTGTAGAGCCATTCAACTTTGTGATTCATAACAAACTATAGAAAATATTGCAAAGAAAAGATATCCACAACACTTTATTGTGCAAAAGCAGAACCTGAATTTAGACCAAGATGTAGCTGCTCAAACAGAACAGGGAATACTGCATGGTTTCAAATCAGAAAACTGTACAAAAGGGCTGTATCCTTTCACCATGCTTATCTGGATGCTGAGCAAATACTCAGAGAAGCTAGACAGTCTGAACAACACAGCATAAGGATGGGAGGTAAGTTCATCAGCAATCTTCAAACTGCAGATAGCACAACCTTGCTTCCAGAGAGATAGGGCAATGTGATATATTTACTGATGATCAAATCATATAGCTTTCAGTATAGATTACAATTCAACGTAAAGAAAACAAAATTCCTCATCACTTTACCACCAATAGGAAACATCACGATACAAGAGAAAAAAATGGATTCTACCACTCAAGTTTTAGCGTGGATTCAGATTTATACTTTTCACTTCATATTTTTAAAAGAAAGTAAAAAAGTGATTAATTTAATATTCCATCTATAGGTATATAATATTAAATGGAAGAAGTTTTGAAGGAACTACTAATTGGTTGTCAACGGAGACAAGACGAAAATAATCCCACTGATTGCTTTCAGTGGGATGGCCCCTGTCCCCTCTTATTTAACATTGTACTGGAGGTCTTAGCTAACAGCACGAGGCAAATAAAAGACATGTAAGGTATCCGCATGGAGAAGGAAGAGGTGAAACTATTGTTACTCGCAGATATGATTTTATATATGGAAAAATCCCTAAAGTGCCACAAGGGGAGTACTGGAAACAGTAGAGGAATATGGCAGAATGGCAGGATACAAGATCAACAAACAGAAGTCTATCGGACTGCTATATACATTAGACAAGACCACAGAAGAGGAGATAAAAAAGGTGGCACCTTCACAATAGCCAAGCACAAACTGAAATATCTAGGGATATACCCGATTAAAAGACAAAATATTTGTATGAGGAAAACTACAGAACACTTACAAGAAACCAAGAGTGACCTCAACAAATGAAATAATATCTCATGTTCATGGACTGGAAGACTCAATATAGTAAAGATGTCAGTTCTGCCTAAGGCACTATATAAGTTTAATGCACTCCTGATACAATTACCATCATCTTTCTTCAAAGAATTAGAAAAACTAATTTTCAACTTCATATGGAGAGGGAAGAAGCCCAGAATTAGCAGAGAACTCCTCAAGAAGGACACAGTGGGAGAGCTTGCTTTATCTGACTTTAGCACCTATTATACAGCCTCAGTGGTCAAAGTCGCATGGTATTGATATACTGACAGATACTCAGACCAATGGAAAAGAAATGAAAACTCAGAAATAAAATCATCAGCATACAGACAACCAATCTTTGATAAGGGCCCCAAAAATATCAAATGGGAAGCAGATGCCCTCTTCAATAAATTATGCTGGAAAAAGTGGGTATCTACCTGCAGAAAATTGAAGCAAGGTCCTTATCTCACGGCATGCACAAGAATAAACTCAAGGTGGATCACAGGCCTTGAGGCAAAACCCCAAACTATTAGGGGCCTTCAATGAGGGAACTAGAACAAATCTGAGAACTTTGGCACAGGGAATACAAAGGCTATCAGAAATGGGGAATGACACAAATACAGATGAGTCACAAACTGACAAGTGGGATCTACTGAAGATAAAACACCTGTGTACATCGAAATAATTCACTAAGAAAGTATTAAGAGAGCACATGGATTGGGAAAACATCTTTAGCAATGACACATCAAACAAAGGCCTTACTACTAAAATCTTCAATACTCTCCTAGCTTCCCAAAAGAACAAAACCTAATTGCCCACTGAGGAGCTGAACAAAGGACCTGAACAGAAGTTTCACAAAGACATAAATCCAAATGGCCAATAAACATGAGAAAATGTTCACGATTACTAGCCATAAGAAAAATGCAAATTAAAACAACTATGAGATACCACTTAACACCCTCAAAGATAGCCCAATTAAAAAAAAAAATCAGAAAGCAACAAGTGTTGGAGTGTTGTAGTGAGATAGGGACTCTCATCCACTGCTGGTGAACCTGTAGGTATGTACAGCCACTATGGAAATCAATCTGGCGATATCTAAAACAGATGGAAATTGAGCTCCCATACAACCCAGCAATCCCCCTACTGGGCATATACCCAGAAAAGGCAAGAAACAAACCACGGTCAGACATCGTGCTCCAATGTTCATTGCAGGACAGTTCACAATTGCAAGGAGTTGGAAACAACCCAAATTTCCATCAACAGATGAATGGATTAAAAAAACTGTGGTATATACACACAATGGAGTACTATACATCCCTAAAAAGCAGTGATGAGCGCATGAAGCACATTGCCACATGGGAAGAACTAGAGAAAATTATGTTAAGCGAAGTAAGCCAAGCACAAAAGGACAAGTACAACATGATTTAGCTTAAATAAGCTTAAAAATGCAAAAAGGGCATAGGGAAAAATCTACCATATACGTACATTCCTGGGGTAAGGTCCAGGTAGTATGCCCGAGGCCAGACCAATCCCAGGATACATATGGTAGCCAACTAAAAAGGAGAGGGGAAAAAGACATGGGCAGCGGGGGAACAGGGCACTAACCTATAGGAAGGGAATTGTTTATATCTCCACAGAGAAAGAGGGACCAGACTTCAACCTGGTGCTCCAAGACATGAATGCAGCATACCTGTATGAAGCAAAGAACCAATAGATACTTCTGAAGGGCCGGCCCCAATCACAACTATGTGGACAGAAGAATTCACTTCAGAGGACAGCACTGAAGCTACAGCTTAGGGAGAGGGCCATGTCTGATCAGAGCACACAGGAGCAAATGAAGGGGGAGGAAGAGAGAGTGGAGCACATCCTGGCCCACCAAACCTTGAAGATGAGGGCCATAAAGCCAGTCCCACTATGAGACACAACGTCTCTCACTGACCCACAGCCCTACGGGGAACAACACTGGAGATACAGTGGGAGAAGTGCACCCGAACTGACCCCACCACGCCCAGGCGAAACACTAAGAACAGCAAGGGTAGCAAGCAACGAAGTCCCCAGGGAATAATACCAAAAATAGACTTTGGGGCCAGGGCGTGGCACCCTATCAGACTCAACCAGAAAACACTCCTAAAGGTTAACAAACAGACCTTGAGCTATTTATAGGCTTTTTTTGGTTGTTGTTTTGTTTTGCTAGCTTGCTTTATGTCCACATTATTATCTCTGCAGGTCTATCTAGATAAGATAGGCAAGATAAACAATCTGGAGGAGAAAACAATGGGACCGAAAGTTGGGGGAGGGTGGGGGGGGGAGGAAGTGGGTGTTAACAAACCCAGGGACAAGGGAACAACAAGTGATCTAAAAATCGATGGCAATGAAGGCGTAGGAAGCCTGGTAGGGCTTCATAAGGGCAATGGAACTGAGAGGAATTACTGAAACCCAAATGAAGGCTGAACATGACAGTGGGAAAAGAAGAAAGTAAAAGGAAACAAAGCAAAGAACTAGGAGACAAAGAGCATTTACAATTTACAGATATCTAAATCCAGGGATGTACATATGTAAATATATTTATATATGACAATGGGGAAATAGATCTATGTGCAAATATTTATAGCTTTAGTATTAAGGTAGCAGGTGAACATTGGGCCTCTACTCAAGTACTCCCTCAACGCAAGAACACTTTGTTCTATTAACCTGGCATTCCATGATGTCCATCTTCCCAACACAATCACTGAAGACAAAGTGGGTGCATAAACAAATGTGAAGAAAGCTGATGGTGCCCAACTATCAAAAGATATAGCATCTGGGTTCTTAAACACTTGAAGACAAACAAACGGCCATCTAGCTGAAAAGCAAAAAGTCCACATGGAAGAAGCACACCAGCCTGTGTGATCATGAGGTATCAATAGGATCAGGTATCAGGCATCAAAGAACACTGTGAATGAGGCAGAGTGGGGAGTGGAGACCCAAAGCCCCTCTGTAGGCATTTGGACATCTCCTTACAGAAGGGTGACAGGGAGGAGGCGAGCCAGTCAGTGTGCAGTATAACACTGATGAAACATACAAATTTCCTCTAGTTCTTTAATGCTTCCTCCCCTGCCCACCCAATATCATGGTCCCAATTCTATCTTACAAATCTGGCTAGACCAGAGGATGTACGCTGGTACAGACAGATATGAGCTGGAAACACAGGGAATCCAGGACAGATAAGCCACTCAGTATTAACAATGAGACTAGTGATACCAGGAGGGTAAGGGGAAGGTGGGATAGAAAGGGGGAACTGATCACAATGATCTACAAATAATCCCCTCCCTGGGGGGAAGGACAACAAAAAAGTGGGGGAATGAGAACATCATTCAGTGTTAGACATGACAAAATAATAGTAATTTATAAATTATCAATGTTTCATGAGGAAGAGAGGGTAGGGGAGGGAGGGGAAAAATGAGGAGCTGATACCAAGGGTTCAAGTAGAAAGAAAATGTTTTGAAAACGATGGTAACAAATGTACAAATGTACTTGACACAATGGATGGATGGATGGAGTGCAAAATGAGTTGTATGAGCCCCCAATAAAATGATTTTTAAAAATGTTATAAGTCAAATTTAATTGTGGAAATAAATGCTACAACTATAGCTAAAAAAATATTTCTGTGTAGGCTTAAATGTTGACTTATACATCTAAGAATAATAAAATTACCTGGATATCTTGTAGACAAATTTCATGAGCATCCAATGAACACTGCAGTCTTGGTTCAAGTAGTTTCTTTAAGTTGCCTATTGGCTCATTAATGTCTATGGCCTGGCTTACACATTCAGCTGGAGTGTAGGTTTGTTCTACAATGCTAAATATTAAAGAACACAATGGTTAACTATTAACATGGATATTAAAGTAGGAATATGCTAAAAACAAAATCTGCAAGTAAAATACACTTCTGGTCTTTGGAAACTCATTTTTAAGTAAACATTGCTCTTAGTGGTAAGCTTATCAACCAATTAGTTTTGACAAACTCAATATAGAACTGCACTAAGAAATGCTAGTCTAAAATATAAAGTACACTTGAAAATGTGCCTTGTTTAGTTTATACATATGTGCATATACACATATAACTATATATGTAATACCGTAAGAAAAATAATAGTATATATATTAATATACTACCACGTCTTTCTTCTGCAGATTAGCTGGTGGGTTCAAACCACCAACCTATGATCTAGCAGCCAAGCAATAACCACTGCTGCACCAGGGCTCCTTCCTTGAATTTTATTGAGCCATAAATCCCATGAGGCTGTGCCAAGTAATTCTCTATCACTTCAGATTCTTACCTGGTGTCAAAGACAAGTATAAATAAGTAGTTGCTAAATTAGAAAACTTGGAATTCAATCGAATTTCAGATTTAAATTTCATTTGATGTTGTCAAAATCAGTACTTATTAAAAATTTTGTCATTTCATTTCCCAAAAATTCTCAGTATGCTAAACAATATATACAATATTTAAAGATTCACATAGCCCAAATTCCTTCTTAAAAGTTTTAAAACTACTTCATGAATAAAAATACAAGATAATTAACATCTTTCACTGCACTGTAATCAGATGCACACATAATTACCCACTCATAAATTTGTATGCCTCCTCACATACAATGTGGACTCTACAAGGGCAGATATTAACTCATTTATTCATGTTCCAGGAAATTACTAACTAATAACATTTATGAGGGGCTTCAGAAAGTTCATAGAAAAATTACCATCTAACTCTATCCAACAACTTTTAAAGTTCTTACATACATATTTGTTAAATAGGATTGTATTAAATTGTTATTTCTAAAATGAAAGTAACCAGCATTAAGGAATAAAAAGCCAAAAACTGCCCAGGGAGGAAGATTATCAATAGCCTGATTAGTATCAAGTATTTTTATTCATTGTTTTAGCTTAAAACGGATTTTCCAAGAGCTATAAACCTATCAAGTCAGAGTTAAAAAACAAAAACATTATCATCTGAAATGCCGAAAGTGAGTTAAAAAAACAAAAAACTTATAGCTTGATTCTTTAATTAGGTAATTGATAAGAAATAGTAGTTTTAGAAAACACTAACCTTTCTTCTGTACACTCTGGTTTCTCTGTTCCATCTATCTCAATTTCTATCAGCTCCTCTGCTTCTCTTTTAGTCATGTTTGAAGTATTTCAAAACAGCAGTCCTGGAAGGATAAAATGTTGAAACATCTGAAATTATCTGCATAAACAGAAATGCTTATAAGCAGAGACCCGATTCAAATAAAAGCAGAGGCTAAGTGGAAAAGGGAGATGTAATCTTCCCATAAAGTACCAGGAGTCACTCAGAGTGACCCTTATAGGACAGGGTAGTTCTGTACCTGTGAGTTTCAGAGACTGTAACTCTTTATGGGAGAAAGGCCAGTTTTTCTTCACAGGGACAGCTGGTGGTTTTGAACTGCTAACCCTTCAGATCCCAGCACAAAAGAGTAACCACTTTACCACCAGGGCTTTAAGTACAACATTCTAAAATAGGAATCTAAGGTAACTAGTGTCTTTAAGTATGTACATCACTGCTTTGATTATAAATAGGATATATGTACTTTAAGATGTGGTTTCATAAATTTTCAAGAAACCACTACTTCAGTTCCATAAGGAATTCAAATTCCACTGTACAGTATTCTAATATATCTTTGACTTCTGATAAACTTGCTATTTTTGGCAAAGTCTGTGCTCTCGGTTTGACAAAATCTTAGATTCAAATATTCATTCCTATTAATAACAAAAATAAAAATCACCGCCATTGAGACAATTCTAACTCAGAATGACCCTATAGGACAGAACAGAATTGCCCCCTGGGGTTTCCGAGGTGGTAATCTTTATTTTTCAACCATGATCTTTATGGAAGCAGCCAGCCATAATTTTCTCTCAGGGAGCAGTTGGTAGGGTCAAACCACAGACCTTTTCGTTAGTAGCCGAGTGCTTTAACCACTCTGCCATCTTTCTATTATTACTGGATACTGTATCAAATGCTTTACATATTCCTAGCCTATTATGAAGGCACCTTGGTGGTACATTAGCTAAGTGCTCAGCTGCTATCCAAAAGGTCATCGGTTTGCACGGCTCTGCATGAAAGAAAATGAAGCGATCTGTTTTCATGAAGATTGTAGTCTACAGGGCAGTTCTACTCACGTCTGGTAAGACTGCTAAGAGCTGGAATTGACCGGCCTGCACAAGCTTATTTAAGTCCACCTTGATATCTGACTATGCAGAGGTTAAAGTACCTATGGCTGGCTCCATGTCACTCAACAAAAGTACACATTATTTAATACAGGTGGGGCTGAACTAAGGTTTGTTGGAAGATATACTCAATATTCTGATCAGTACCAGTCATAATAAAATACTAAGATTCACAAAGACCAGCAAGCAAAGCCCTTCATATTTATAGCACCTCCACCTTGACATGGGGCTTTTTCCCCTCTGGCCTCCCTGTATATGCCTGTCTTAAGACTTTTGCTCTCATTGTTCAGTGCACCTGAAATGTACTTCCTCATTTCTCATCCTCTCAATGAGACCCAGAGCAGCTCATTTAATTCTGTAATCAGTCTCCTTATACTACTTTGGAACCTTGGTGATGCAGTGGGTTAAATGTAGGACTGCTAACCATAAGGTAGGTGGTTCAAACCTACCAGCAGCTCTGCAGAATGATGGAGCTGTCTACTCCAGCACAGAATTAGTCTCAGAAACCCAATTTTTCCTTCTTTTAACCATAGCACTTTTCTAACATGTGATACCAAACAAAAACCAAACCAACTGCCATCAAGTGCATTCCAACTCGTATCAACTCTTTATATATTTACAAGGTTGTAAATCTTTATGGAGCAGAGAGCCTCAACTTTCTCCATCAGAGTCCCTGGTGGATTTGAACCTTATAGCCAGCAATTGCTTAACCCTAATGTACCATTAAGGCTTTTAACTTATGAAATTCAAAAGCTTGTGGAAGAATAACATGATCTTTCAAGGTACAGTTTACCACAAAATTTTTAAATCCCCCTTGTAGAATTACTATTATATTGTATTATCATCAAAATGCAAACATTAAAATTGCCTCGTTGTTGTTAGGTGCCAGTCAGTTCCACCTCATGACAATCTTAAGGTACAATTAGAATACTGCGCAATCCTGCACCATCCTCACAATTGTTCTTATGTCTGAGCCCATCAAGACAGTCACTGTTGTCAATCCATCTTATCAAAGGTCTTCCTCTTATTCACTACCCCTCTAGTTTACCAAGCATGATGTCCTTCTCCAGGGACTGATCTCTACTGACAGGTCCAAAGCAGATGAGATGAAAAATTCCCATCCTTGCCTCTAAGGAGCATTCTGGCTATACTTCTCCAAGACAGATTTGTTTGTTTCATGGTATTTTAGATATTCTTCACCAGCACCATAATTTAAGCCCAGCCTTCATATGCATGAGGCAACTAAAAATACCAAGGTCTGGGTAAGGCACACCCTAGTCCTCAAAGTAACATCCTGGCTTTTCAACATTTAAAGAAGTCTTACGCAGATTTACCCAATGCAATGCGTTGTTTGATCTTTTGACTATTGCTTCCATTAGTACTAATAGTGGATCCAAGCAAGATGAAATCCTTGACAACTTATTTCCACGAGGATTTTGGCGTTTCTTATGCTGAGTTGTAATTAATACTCAATGCTGCAGTCCTTGATCTTCTTGAGCCAGTGCTCCAAGTTCTCCTCACTTTCAGCAAAGCAAGGTAAGCAAGGTGTCACCTACATATTGCAGGTTACTATGTCTTCCTCCAATCTTGATGCTGTAATTATCTTTTTATAATTCAGCTTCTGATTATTTGCTCAGCATACAGATTGAGGAAGTATAGTGAGAGGATACAACTGTCCAAAACTGACCCCAAATACTTAAAAACATTTGTCTGAACTAAAAACTTCTCTTCACTTTTTTTTTTT